TTTTATTTGCATATTTTTTGTGCATGCAGACACACACTTTTATACACACATATATATATATATATATATATTTTTTTTTTTAAGTGCGATCTGCTTTGTAAAATGTCTGCCCTCTTAAGTAAAATCCTCAGTTTGTGCCTAACTAATCCATGCTGCTGCTTTTCCTTAGCTGTTCTGGTATTCAGTTATAAAAGCTGCTGGCTCTCAGACACCGTGAGGTTCTTAGAAGTTCAAGTTGATCTGTCTTCCATCAAGCAAATCGGTATAGAATACCACTAACTCCTCACTTCTCTTTACTCTGTACAGGGAACAAGTGTCCTTTCTCCTTTTCTCCATATTGGATCAGTAATTACATTAGCTGCAATGATCTACAAGAAATCAGCAGTTCAGCTTTTTGAAAAGCATCCCTGTCTTTATATATTGACATTTGGTTTTGTATCTGCCAAAATCACCAATAAGCTTGTGGTAAGCACCAGAGTTTTTGTCTGTTTTCTTTTTAACTTTCATCTTATTTTGGTTTTATGGCCATAGTTTTCATTTCATAATTTCCTAAGCAGTTCTAGAGTTTGCTGTCCTCTAATCAAAATCTCTTGATGTCAATATGGGAGCCATTTTTACTCTTACATGAAGCTACAATTTGAGATTACCAGAAGCTCCTTAAACCTCTACGACTCTTCTTTCTATCCACATTCTTCATTCTCATTCTTCATTCTCATTCTGTACACTCAAGGCTCCTTGTGAAAAGCATATTTAGGGGGACTTAGTTGGCATGGTATATACCTTCGGTGTATAGCTCTCACACCCACTTTTTGTTGTTGTTTTAGTTTTGAAAGTTCAACAGATATTGCTAAAGAATTCTTGAAACTTGATATTTGATCACAAAACTGATTTACTGTGTAGCTCACAATTGCTTTAATATGGAAATGCCTGCCTACATCACCGATTCTCTTTATTCATAGGTGGCACACATGACTAAAAGTGAAATGCATTTGCATGACACAGCATTCATAGGTCCAGCACTTTTGTTTCTGGACCAGTATTTTAACAGCTTTATTGATGAATATATTGTACTTTGGATAGCCCTGGTAAGTTTTGTACTGTGTTCTATTTCATGATTTGAAGGGTACTTGTTTTCTGTTTCAGTGGGCCAGTCCTGAGAGACAGATCGTATAATTGTAATGATTTAGAATACTAGAAAACCACATTTATGGGACTTCGTGGGAGTTCCTCATGGCTTCATCTTTGATCATTTTTTGTATTATTCTTATTAGTCCTGCCTACATCCTGGCTCATAAATTCCATATTTCTAACTGTAAAGCAGGAGTTGGCAGACTACAGCTTGTGGGCCAATGGCCAGTTTTTGTAAATAGTTTTATTGGAACACAGTCATGGCCATTCATTTATGTATTGTCTGTGGCTGCTTTCATGCTACAGTGGCAGAGTTGAGCAGTTGTGACAAAGAGAGTATGGTCCACAAAGCCTAAAATATTCACTAAGTTTGTTGCTCCTTGGTGTAAAGGAAGAATCTTTGAGGAAATTGAGTTATTAAATTTTATGGAATTGAAGGTAAATTTCAAAATAAAAGAAGAAAGAAGCCTCTCCTCTTGGCTTTCAGGAATCTTAGGGATGGCCTAAGCAGATTCCTGAGAATCTAATAGTATCTTTTTTTTTTTTTTTTAGGTCTTCTCTTTCTTTGATTTGATTCGCTACTGTGTCAGTGTTTGCAATCAGATTGCGTCTCACCTGCATATACATGTCTTCAGAATCAAGGTCTCTACAGCTCATTCTAATCATCATTAATGATGTAATTGATGTTATAGGAAACTCATGTTTTCTGCCCGAAAGAATCTGAACATATTAAGGAGAATGGGGTGGTTAAGAACAAATATAATTTATAGTAACCAACGTTATATATAACTTTTATTCTTTGTTATTGGTAACACTCCTTAACTATCCCTGTGTGAGAATGGGAGTTTCAAGTTCCATCCCGTAAATTGTACATGTTGTCAAACAGGGTTGGCCCAAGAAAGCATGCAAGAAAAAAATGCCATGTGTTTGTAATTATCCTGGATTCATAGTAAAATTGTCATGGGGAGCAGATCCCCAGTGGTGGAGATTTCTAATGTAGAATATTTGCAGGCCAAAAGATGGTTGCTTTATAATTTTAACAAATCATCATCTTTTAGTGACGTCCTTGTTTAGTATCTTCTCAAGCTTTCTTTACTGAGGAGCTCAGCTTGTGGCACAGATATATCTTGTGAGGTGGAACCTAGTGATCAAGATCTTGAATTTGGATTGAAAGGTTTCCTATCTTTACATTATTGAGGAAGTCATTTTTTTTATTGCTCAAGAAATGGTATCTCATGGGCTTGGGAAATCCTGTTAGCATGCATAATAATGTGGTAACTTTGTCGATCCATTTATTTTTTTAAATAAATATATGATCTGAAAGCCAGTCTTCTCAGTTTTATTCAGTGGAAAGATAAACTAAGTTTTAATGTCGTTTTTAAAATTTTTAAGCAAAATTTATTTCTGTTCTTTAATAAATGAGGAAATTCAGTCAGCTACATCATCATTATGTGTCCTGTGACCTTTCTATTTTGTATAAAACTGTTTAACTTAAAACACAGGAGTGCTGGGCCTCCCTGGTGGTGCAGTGGTTGAGAGTCTGCCTGCCGATGCAGGAGACAACGGGTTCGTGCCCCGGACCGGGAGGGTCCCGCATGCCACGGAGCGGCTGGGCCCGTGAGCCATGGCCTCTGAGCCTGCGCATCCGGAGCCTGTGCTCTGCAACGGGAGAGGCCACAACAGTGAGAGGCCCACGTACCGCAAAGAAAAACAAAACAAAACAAAACACAGGAGTGCTATGTTCATTTTCCCTCTTGGTAGATTTTTTTGGTTGTGGTTGTGTCACCCTTGAGATTATAAATCTTTTTTTCCCTTTGAGAAAACAGAATCATAATCTTAAAAGTCCAGGGGGGTTTAATAGTCACCTGGTCTAGGAATCTCAAACCCTTCCCCCAGATTTTTAATGAGAGAGGCTTGGGCCTCTCTAGGCAATTATTGAAAATTTGCACTCTCCTTTTCTGGCTACTCAGTATCTGTACAACAGTTTGAATTGAAAACCAGGTGTCCTCAGTAACTATAAACCAGATCTGTTTCCATTGTATATAGTTCAGTTGCTTGAATGAAGAGGGAGACAAGTGGAAAAGGTTTAAGCTATTGACTAAAATGAGGTATCTTACTATTGATTTTTATTTATACCCTGTTTCCATAATCATGGATACACAATAGCTGTGCTGCCTTGCCTGGCAACCAGAACTCTTCCTTGCACTTTTAATGATTTCATCAATTCCATGTAATCTTGATTAGCAATGACTGTGAAACCTTTCATTTCTTTGCTAGAATGTAGCAGGAAGGGGAAGTTTCTCACTGCCTTTGCTTGCTAGCAACTTCTCCAGCATCTGGGGTAGAGAAGTACATACAGGAAGATGCTAGGACGGATCAAATGTTGCAAGCTAGGACAAAGGAAAAAGAAGGAGGGATAATTAACTAAAGTTACCTCATTGTCTTATTATATTAGATAGACAGAGCAAATGTTAATTACCTACAGTGGAAATTGAGGTCTGGAGAAGCTCAATGGCATACCAGTGTCACAACAGTTACTCCTTTTCCAAATGGGGACTAGAATCCAGATCTTCTGAATCCTAATCCATTGTTCTCTCCTACACCACACTAGGTTTTAGTGGGCTGAAGCTACAAACTGAGATTCTAGAATCTTTTTCAGTGTAAACGAAATCTGGAAGACGTTCAGGTATTTGGTGTGCTCTTCCTTCAGCTCTAGATAACCATCCGCATCATATCAAGGGTATGTTTATAGTAAACCTCAGCTGGTCCTAATTCTTCTTGTGATCATATTATATATGATTTTGATACCTGGTTAGGTATCAAAATTATCTGAAGAATTTTAAAAAATACAGGTTCCCAGGTCCTATTGCTAGAGATATTTGGTAGGTTTGAGATGGGGCCTCATATTTTCATAAGCTCCCCAGGATTCCAGTCCTTGTTAAACCTTTTGAGTTACAACTAGGCTTAGGAACCACTGTCGTAAACTACCTAAAAAGGTGCAATGACTCTTGGAAGCTGTGAAGAGTAGCAGCATAGTTAGGGGTGGCATGTGGACGGAAGAACATGTGCCACCTGCAGTAGGTCTCTGTGACCCTAAAATAAAATTATATTGGCTTTAACTTCAATTTGGTAACCCTAGTCCCCATCCCACCCTCCAACAACATTTGTGTTCTTTGTACAGAATGCAGGGGCCTGAGGGCCACACTCACATACACACATTAAAAAGATGGAATTTTTGAAAAACAAGATGCTTCTAAAAGTTTCCCATCCCTTACAGTGTTTAAACAGAAACCGTCCATAGAGATACAGAGGGAAGATGGACCAGGTGACTACTAAACTCGTTGGAACTTCTAAGATTTTGATTCTCTTTTCTCAAAGAGAAAAAACGTCAATGCGGGGGATCCCTCTACCTTTAGCTAAAGAGTTGAACTGGGCTTCTCAACATATTGAAGTTGGAAGTAGGATGTCTAAAATGGAAAGTTCCAAACTGGAAGTGATGGGCAGACAGACCTATTGATGGAAACAATGTAGTGTTCTTCACTGGCTTCTGTCAACTGAAATTCCTACCCTCAAGTTACTCGACTGCAAATGCTTCACTCTGGCTAGCAGCCTTTCCTCCCAAGATTCTGGAAAACACACCGAACTAGAACCAAGAACTGCTGCCGTGTCCCCAGTGCGGTTGCTGCTTTTACCAGTATCCCTCACCCTTCCTATTAGAAGGCTCTGCCGACCCCTGTAATCCCACCACTCCAAACACAGTCCCAGAGTTCTGGGCACTATTGCCAGGTCCTCTACTTCTAGCGCAGTTTATTCTCACATCTATTGCCTTGTTTTCCTGGTTTTCTCTCCATAGTGGAAGCCAGAGATACACATTTAAAGAACAAGAAGATTTTCATCTTTATTCTTATCCTCACATGTCCACAGACCTCTTCTTCTATGTGGAGAAACTGAGCCTTTGGGCCACAGCTGCTTTCCCTGTTGAGGATTTTGTAAGAGGTTCCTGGAAGAGGGCAGTTACAGCAACTTGTAAGACTCTACAACACCTCTACTACTGTCTCCTGCCCGGTGTCACCTCTGCAGGAAAGGCAGCTTTGTGCCCAGCTCTGTGAGCACAGAGGTCAGAGCCTTCCAAAGTCTTGAGAAAGCTGATTCCAGGGATCCCAAACTCAGGACACCAACTTGAAGCAAGACCTGGTTACCAGGACTCGGAAGAAGGCTGTGGATTCTGGGGGCTGAGAGCTTCACATCCTACCATGCTGGCAGGGGCCAAAGTCCACAACTGGCCTATAGGTCTAGTCACTGCTGTTCACCACAGCTCTTATTTCAAAGTCTTTTCCTTTGGTTTCTTCTGTTTCTTCCGTTCCTCGTATTCAAGTATTTTCTGTTGGAAATAGCCTGTGGGTTCAGATACGTGTGTTAAGAGACATCTAATCTGGCCAGGCAGACTTAAGATAAGCTCAGGAGTGAGGGTCAGGAATATCCTCTCTGCTGCCCACGCTCCCAGACTACACCCACATTCCTGCCAGGATGCCCAAGCCCTCACAGGTCTTTGGAGATACAGGTATTTGATTTGGCCCCAGAGGGGGCCTAAAACAAATAATAATTAGTAGGAATTAGCTCCAGACTAAAACAAAGAGCATACGGCCTCCTGCTGGCTGATGAACAGAGCAACTTCTGCAAAGTATCAGCTCAGGAGGCATTTTCTTAGGCTTCAGGTTCTTTCCTTCCAGCCCTGCTTGGTAAGATTACAGCTATTTTTGTGGGCCTCTAGAGAGAAATGCTCTTTCCTCCCCTCCTCTTCATCGTAGGGCCACACCTGACTTGGAGGCAGTGACCCTCTGGGCTTGGATTGATAGGGGCCTGTCACTATACCTGCAGGAGGGTTCTTGCTCTTCTCAGCTTCCTGGATGAAAAGGGAAAAGAGCTGTGTCTTCACAAACTTCTTCACAAATCGGCGGTTGGCCTTGGAGGTCAGAGCCTTATAGAAGCCCCGTTCTTGGAAGTGGCCTTGCCCATTTGCTTCCCGCTTGATGTAGGAAGCGTAGTGGCCCACAGTCTTGACAAAGAACTGCACAAAAGGGCCTGAAACATGCTCATTGATTTGTTCAGAAGCTGCAAGGAACAGAGACCATCTCAGGATAGTGGAAGGATGAAACTACCCACTCTTACCTCCAGTGGCTTTCTTCGCAAGCTGAAAGCTCTTGGAGAAGGGGTGAGGTAGGCTTCATAACTACTGATTGACTGATTAAAATGGGAGACTAGATGTGGGTTCACCATTGCTTAGGAAGAATAAAATCTCATACTCGCCCTAGAATCAAGGCCTCTGGGACTAGCCCAGGACTGCTGAGTGAATTTGTTTTAGTTCTGGAAGGGAATTATTGGGAATCATGCCCTCAAGCTCTTAGGAGAAAGCCAAAATAAGAGGAGCCTAGGACTTACTCTGTGACCCCTTGATCCCCTGACCAAGAGATTCTAAGATGTCCTCCTGAAGCTTGGGTGGTAGGATGTCTTTTTCATCACCAACCTAGGAGAGGACAGAGGCAGCTCAGAGGTTAAGCAGTCAGGGGGGAGGTGTGAAGTGAAGTGTTGGCAGAGAGTGTGAGGTGGGGATGAATTCTACACCCCACTCTTCCCCCCACCCCCAGATAATTGGCCACATAGAAGAGAAGCAACAGAAGCTTTGACTCTAAACACTAGTAAGTTTCTCTATCCCTCTGGTACTTGGTTTATATCCTTGCCCTAAAGGCACTAACACCGACTGCCTTGTGAAGTCATCTGTCTTTGTCATGGGCTCCTTGAGAGAGGAGAGATCTTGTTAGCATGGATTCTCACTCAACAAAAGTACTTAAAGTTTGTTAAAGTAAGTGGAACATCAGTGAGACTAGAGCAACTGAATTGGTGGTGGGTCTGCTGGGGATCTGAACCGAGACACTTACTGACATTAAGAAGGTTCCTTCACAAAGATTCACCAACAGGACCTGAAAAAAACACAAAACAGCTTGATCTCTTCCCCTTTCTCCATTTCTGCCTGTGGTTGTAACTTTCAGCCCAAGTAGCAATAAAATCAGCACCTTAAGTTCTCATTTCCTGTCTGATAGTCTCTTTTCTCACCACCCCCTCTTTCCTGGGAAAACGGTGTGAGGGTGTAGGAAGCAGGAAACAGGAGAGAGCTGAGGAAAATGGGACAGACAATATGGGTAAACCATAGCCAGTCACTCCCTTAATAAAACATTGATCATGGTAATGGCTTCTACATATGCAACATTTAGTACATGGCACACGTGGTGCTTTGCACATTTTATCTCATTTAATCTTCCCAATGCTCCTGTAGAGGCAGGTACTGTGCCTGTTTTGCAGATGAGGAAACAGACCCAAAGAAGCTAAGCTGCCTGAGGTGATACTGCTAACAAATAGGACAGTTTCCAAGCCGAGGTTGTGCTGTCCCTGGGACTACGTCTTTCTCCCGACAACTCTCCTTCAACTCCCTTCCTTCTGGTCAGCTTTAGGACAGGGATGGACATCTTTTGATTTTTTTAATGCTCACAACAACTTTATGTACAATTGCCTGGAGTTCCATTTATAAAACTCCCACAGAGCTCTGGGCCTTCCAGCAGGAAACAGCGAGAGGAGGAAATGAGCCCAGGGTCAGCAGGAAGAGGGAAGGAAAGGCAGTAACCTGTGTCTATAGGCTGCAGGTAGGACAAGCACAGGGCTGGAACTTGGGAGACCTGAGCTCTAGTATCAGCTCCATCATTGCCTGAGAGGCCTTCAGTCTAGACTAGAGATGACAAATAGGCATCCTGCTGGTTGGATTCCAACCTACAGATCTGTTTCTTTTTGCCTCAGAGAATTTTTAAATAATTGAATTTAGTTTCCAATATTTAAATTGGAAAATTTCACATAAAATTTGGATTTGGGGCTTCTCCTGAAAAGTCAGGAGCTCTAACACTGATCCACATACAGATGGAACTGAGTTACAGCTGCCCCCTTTAGTCAAGGCCTGTGCTCAGCAGTTTGTCATAATCCCCCGAAGCCTGTGTTGGCCATTTAAATGCCTGCTGGCTCCCTCTTTTCAGTTTGTGACCCTTGGTCTCGACAGGTGGGTGAGTGATCCCTGCATGCACCCTTCTCCCAAATAAAAAGAAAGAGAGGAACTAGGAAGTGTTCCAAGAGACAGAGCAAGCACTGTAATTATCCATCGTCAAGGGAGAAAAGTTGAACTAGTTCAGGCCTGAAACCACTTGTATACATAGGCTCAGATGCCTTCACTCAGGGCAGGCTGTTTACTTCGGGGGCTGGGAGGTAAGAGTGTGTGAAGAAATTTTTTGTGAAGTTGTTCCCAGAAGTCTTTCCAGTACTTGGAAAGACTGTCTGTCAAGCGTTCCCTTCCAGAGAGTGGACGTGGGGAGTCAGGGAATCCCCCTCCCCTTCCCTGGCCCCTAGCCCTCTCCCTTCCTCACCCCCTGCCCATTTCACGGAGCAGCTGCAGAGGAATAAAATAGGCCAAGGCTCTTAGCGAGCAGGAGCTGGAGTCTGTGTAGCCTTCCGGTGTCTTCCCGCCAGGCCAGTGGAGGAAGAGCCACAGCTGAGGAGATAGAGCTGTAGCATCAGGAAGTTTCATAACTTCTGGGTATGGGGCATTTTAAGTCATTGCTAAACATGGGGCTGATACTCTGTCCCAGTTAGTCACAAGGCAAATACTGGCTCAAAGGGCATGTGTACTCAGCAGTCCTGAGGAGGGTTGAGCGGGCCAGCAAAGCAAGGAAGGGAAACAGAGCCTGCTTCTTTACCTCCCAGCAGCACTCTGTGGAAGAAAGGCTTTGGTTCTATCTGCTAGATTCCATCCTTGCCTATGTGGCTTCAGATAACTCAAATGAGTTATCTGGACCGCAGATACTTCTTATGTAAATGGAGGAAGTCCTCCCACTAGGGTGGGTTGCAAGCCTTCAATAGCTTACTTCTAGGCCCTGCCTCTCCCCTTGGTAGGCCCTTTGTCTACACAGAGGGAGTCAGTGGTTAGCCCGTGCAGACAAACCGAAGTAGCTCTTCTGGCTTGAAATTATCATCATGTGCTATCTCTTGAAAGTTCCTATTGACAACTCAAGCAAAGCACATGTTTTGAGTTGTTCTTCCAACACTGGAGATAGATTTATGTTATTAATGCCTGTTTTCACCACTGATCTTTCTGGTGTATCTGGAGGCACTGCCAAGAAATAAGAAGCTGACAGAGATCAACGGGAATTTGGACCTCTATCCTCATTAGCCAACTGAGCTCTGAGCTAATCAGAAAGATGACCCTTGCTACAAAAAAAAAAATCTGCATTTTCAAGGCTTGTTGTTTGCAGGAAGCCTATGTCAGTTCACTTCTAAGCACCGCACCGTGAACAGCCCCCAGTGGGGTGTGTGTTGTATAGACCAGCTGTTGTACAGACCAGCTGTGCTCGTCCGTTCAGAAGAAAAACGGGACACCTGGGGCCTGCTCATTAGGACTAGCTGGCCTAGGACAGTCGGGTGAGCCCTGAATAAGCCACGTGCTGCCCCTTAAGCCCAGGGAAATCATTCAGGAGGAGGGAGCAGACCCTTATTGAGTATCAGCTATATGTCAGGCACCAGGCTAGGTGCTTTATGCAGAATTTTTCCCCCTAGGATCCCTAGGAACTGAACATTGTCATTCCGATATTACAGATGAGGGAGCTCAGGCTTAAAGAGGTTAAACAACCTGCGGCAAAATCACCCAGCTGTTAGTAGCAGAGCTGGGATCGGGATCCAGGTCTGCCTGGCTCCAAGGCATGCCCTCTTCTTGCGGCATCATACCTCTTCCATGGGGCTCTCCATAACCTCCTGCCGAAAGCGCATTTGGACTCCAACCATGAAGGGAGTGGGGCAGCAGACAGTGGCCAGAAGGCTCTCGGGGACAACAGGGATGTAGGTGTGGGCCCAGCTGAAGGGGTAGAGCAGCGCCGCAGCAGCATGGATGCACTGAGACAGTGTGCTGGGGACAGGGCACAGAGAGTGAGAGTCAGAGGGGCCTCCCTGCGCCTCCACCCCCAGGGACCCACCCCTACAGCCCACCACTGACAGCAGCTGCTCATGCTGCCTGTAAAAGCAAGTCTGGGAGCCATGCCAGTCACAGAGCTTGTGACTACTTGTAGCTGGGAGGAAAGGTACAGAAACTGGGAGGCTGAGGCTCCTCTCATCAAGGATGGGGCCTCTATTTGATCCTTTTCCCAGTTAAGTCTTCTCAACTCACTTCCGGGGGCGGGGGGGGGGGGGGGGGGGAGTGACTCTAAAGAGGGGAGGGAAGAAGAAATGTCTTCATTGTTCGAGTCCCTTCTCTGTGCTTACCACTGTGCTAAGGATGTGGATACCAGGAAGCATAAGACTGGCTCTGCTTTTAAGGAACTCAGTGTAGTTAAGGAGACAAACGTGTAAACATTGGGGTGCAGCAGAGAGGTCAAGCCTGTTTCCTCCTTATGTCTCATCCTGAGTCTTTAACTCTCACAGCTCCCTCTGGCCACTCGTGGTTATTTCAAGTTACCGGGTTGGTGCCTGAGTTTGCTTGGGAAATTCCTGGATTCCAGGAACCTCTGACCAGCAATTCCTACCTGGAAAGTCCCACAGAAATGGCTCCTCCACCCTTCCCAACGAAGCATTCCCTGTGTAATTATTGCCTAAGTCACAACTCGGGCCCAGCTCCCCCAATCCCTCCCCCCTTTGCCCCTCCAACACACACACACAACCCCCCTTTCTGTCTTCTCTATTCTCCACTGGCTTTCACGGCTCTTCATTTCTCCAAGTTACCCCAAAGCCAAAGCCAATCAAAACACAGATGCAGAAACCTTGTTTCAGCTCTTGGTATGGAGCTAGCACTTCCTGAGTTAGAAAGATGGAGTCTCTGAGAGTCTCGCCAAGGCTCAGGCTGACTGGAAGTCCCCTTCCTGCCTGAGTTGCAGAGATCTGAAACACTCAGTGTAGGAAGGAAGTGGGGAGTGGTGGAGTCTCCCTGAAGAAAGTTAACGCCTGAGAGATGAGTCTTGCCGGCCTTTGCCCATGTCCAGGCCAGAGTCCCCTTCACTTCCTAAACACTGATCTTAGGAGGAAAAGGCCAGAATCCCAGCTCCAGCTGTGACAGAAACTTCTCAGTCCCCTACAGGGCAGAGAGTAGAAGAGCTACTTCCAAAGCAAAAGATTACACCACTTTCCACAAGGATTGGCCTACGACTGGTGCCTTTTCGGTTATCACTGATTTTTACAGAATTTTCAACCCACAGACCCCCATTGCCTGCCCAAGCTTCCTTTCCTCTAAAACCCATGACATTCACCTGGCCCTCTGGCCTAATATTTGGGTCCCTAATATCCTTTTCTTCTTCTTCCCTAAAAGATAAAACCAGGGTTGTCAGCCCAATATAAGCAGCTTTCTCCATCCCAAGACATAAATAGGTCAACCTTCTACTGTCTTACGATTTTTCTCCCTTCTCTATTCTGTCACACATCTCCCCATGTCTTTCTCAGACTTGAAGCCCCTAAGAGGTAGAGACCAAGACATGATATTATTCTGCTTCAACTATACACAGGGATATAGTCAACTATGAACTTATTATTAAGAAAAACAACTAGCACTTACCAGTGTGTGCCTGGCAGAGTGCTAGTTACCTAATGTGCATTACTTCATTTAATCCTTACCACACTCTTATGAAGTAGCTACAGATCTCCATTTTACAGATAAGGAGATCATGACTTCAAGAAGTTAAGAACCTAACCTAAGGAACACCATGTAGCTAAAGGTAGAGGAAAAGAACTTGAACTTTGTTCTGCTGATTTCAATACCTGTGCTTTCTTTTCAAATGGGGATAATTCGACATTCCCTTAAGGTCTAGGACCATGTCTTATTTGTCTGTATTTTCCTGATGCTTGGCATCTGGTAAACAGTTGACACACAATAAGTGTTTGTTGAATGAGTGAATAAATGGACAAATGACATGTGTTTGCCACTAAGGATAGTGCACTTGACCTCCCTACCACTATATGACTTCCTGCCCTGTCCTCCCTCAGCTTCTCGAGAGCAGAATCATGTCTGCATCCACCCTAACTGGTCTCCTCCAGGGCTGTCACGGGAATACTTCTTGTACTTCTCAGTGCTAAATCACAAACCTCCTTCAGGCTTAGGCAGTGATCAAGTTTGGAGGCAGAAACAGGGAATTATAACAGCTATTTTCTAGGCTTAGTGCAGATCAAGGCAGGGTGGCAGGAGGGTGGGGAGCACACAGGTCCTACAGCCTGATTTCCTTCGAGAACCCTCCGGTCTATTCCTTGGAACCCAGGGATGCCAGTCAGTTCAGGTGACCCCACTCGGTGGCTGGACCAACCTGAGACCTTCTGCCAGGAAGATGATTCTTCTCTCCAGCACTGCAGAGGCAAAGATCTGAAGAATCTGCTCAAAACTGAGACAGCGCAACAGAGAACTAAAATCCACGTGCTCTAGGTGGGAGTCAAGGGGCCGCGTCAGCGAAATGAACTGTGGGGAAACCAGAGAGAGGGGGGGAGTCACCACACTGAAAAAAATCACACAAACCCCCGAAAGCTGGGTCTCTACCAGCCTCCACCCTATCTTCCCCAAAGGAGTACATCTGACCGTGCCTCCCCACTGCTAAAAACCCACCCATGGTTTCCCTACGCTCTGAGGATGACACTGATGTAATCCCCTACGTGGCCCACAAGGCCCGCCTCTCTCACCACCTGCCTCACCTCGCTTCCCCGCATCAACTCCTTTCCGTTCCTTGAGCATGTCACACTCTTTCTTGCCGGAGGTTCTTCCCTCCCTCCCCTGGGTTGCCTTTCACTCTTTTTCAAAAAAACTAACTTATTAGTTTTTCATTGAAGTATAGTTGGTTTACAATATTTTCTCTCTTCATTCTTATCCTCCTTTATGTCTCAGAGGCCTTCATTGGCCACCTAATGCAAGGTGTCAACCTGTGTTTCTCATCATTTTCCCATGTAGCATCCTGTTTTCTTTTCATCACAATCATACAATTTTTAATTATTTATTTGTGTGTTTACTTATTTAAGTCTTGCTTTTAGCTCCATGAAGTCAGGGACCACATTCATTTTATTTACCGCTTCGTAGCCAGAAAATAGTCTAACTTGGTGCATAGCTAGCCTGCCACACTTATTTTTTGAATAAGTGAACAAGCCTAGCCCCTCCCCTTATTCCGATCTGGGGAAGCAGAGGACACAGCAGATGATCCAGAGTACCAGGGGTCAGGACTGGAATTCTTAAAACAACGTTCTACTTGCTGCTTTGTCTGCTTAGTGTCTTAAAACAATAGCATCCCCACTGTGGCATGGGTGGGGACTCAGGGGTGGGGATGTGTGATAAGAAAAAGACAGGTGGAGGCCATAAGGTAGAGATATAGGACAGACACCGGAAGATAAGTGAGGTAATGGGGAAAAGTGGCAGTTTGGCGGCTGGGGGCAAAGGCCATTCTAGGACCAGGAGCCTCAGCTTACCTGATTTATTTATTATAAATAAAAGTCTTGGTGGCTTAAACAGTAAGTAGGTCCTTGTGAGCATCAGGTTGGGAGGATCAGAACATTGGGGTTTGACTTTCAGCTCTGCCGCCAATAATTCGAGCCAAGCCCCAGTGCCTGCCTGGCTGTTTCTGGTGAATGGGAGCACTGTGACGAGGGGTGCCCCAGGGACACGCCCCCTGCAGTCAGGGGGGGTCTTGTCCAGTTTGCTCACCCACCTCAGTGCCTGAGTCGGGGATGAAGCTCTTGAGGGTGACGGTCTTCCCAGGAGCAGGGAAGGCTGCCTCTCGGAGGCCCTGCATGAATGGGTAGATGACTGCCATGGAGATCTGATGCCTCTTTTCCACTTCATCCAGGATCTGTACGGAAGAGGACCACAGGAAACGTGACTCAAAGGGACGCTCCCAGGCTGGTAGCTGAGATCTCATGTGTGAGGCTGGTCCCGCCAATCCTTAACTGATTCTTTCCTCCCTGGCAGAAGCCAGTCTGCTGTTTACCTCCTGCGCAAGACCTGCTTTTGCTCCTAGCCTTCTTCTTTTCATCTTCTCTCTACCGACCCGTATTCCTTCCTTCTCCTAACATCAGCACGAGCTACCTTCCCCAGGAAGTCATTCTAGAGTAAACTCGTCATCCCTGATGGTACCATGTTCATTTGTGCTAGATGGAGTGGGAGACTAGAAGCTGGGCCTCTTGGGTGCCACTCTGCCCTCCAACTTCCACCAGAGGCTCCCCAGGTCGAGGGATGGCCTTCATCCACAGAACCCTGCACAGATGAACCATCCACCCAAGCCAAGGCTGATGGAGTATATTACCTTCACCCTTCAAGGGGCCTGCCTGGGGCAGAGCACACTGATGCCCTTTTCTGGCCACTAAGACATGCCGCGTCCATTCGGAAGGACTCCTCTCTGATCCCAACTCAGGTGTACTAGCACTCAAATTAGCTCCAGCAGAAGTCCTGGAGACCTCAACTTCCCCCTCTACCCTGGAAGGAGTCGGAGGGAGTCCCCCAAGCCCCGCTGTATAATTGTCTTTATATCTGTTTAGTATTCTATCTTCTTCATGTATCATGTCATCTGAGCCTCACACCAACCCATGAGATAGGAAGGGGAGGGATCATTCCATGCATTTGACAGATGAGGAACTGGAACTCCCCACTCCTAACCTGGAGCTCTACCCGTGTCCCTCTCCAGCTGCATTCTTACCTGACTAGACGGGGAGCAGTGGGCTTTCTGCAGGGGAGACAGTCCTCTAGCTTCAGTTCCTACTTTTCCCTAAAGCCAAGTCCAGCCCAATCACCTGTCTGCCTGAATCTCCCCAGGGTGCCTCGCCTGACCCCGGCTGTGGGGGAGGAGCACAGGGGGCTCAGGCAGGGCAGGCAGCCAGGTGGACCTGGAGGCTCAACAGGCCCAGCAGGCCCTGAGGAATCCCGTTCCACCCCTACCTTGGAGAACAAGCCGAAGCAGCCAATGCAGCTGATGATGCAGTACACCCTGGGGAGGCGAGGACCACGGCCGGCGGGCTAGGGAGGGACGGACAGGCTCCTTCAGTGCTGCAGCCTCCCCAGGGCCTCTATGCAACTGGGGCTGATGGGGCACAGGGCTGGTGGCTGGGGCTGGGGGATCCATGGTGAATGGTGGGCTGGAGGGAGAAAGACCTGGCTGTGCAGAGGTCCCACTCATGGGAGAGGCAGCAGGGAGGCCAGAACGGCCACCGAAATCCAAAGAAAGTGGCCTTGAGGGGGCTGGTTGGCTCAAGGGCGAACACTGCCTGCATCGGCACCAACACTATCAGGGGTGAGCAAAGAGGGAGCAAGTGTGTTGTAGAGACGAGGAAACAGCTAGGCAGGAGAGCGCTATGAAAGTGACTTGAGAGCCCAAGGACTGAGCTTCGTTGTCCAAATCCCAGGCCAGGCTGTGGGAGGCAGGGGCCAAGTCAATGAGGCCTGGATAGAGAGGGCGGGGAGCAGGTTAGAAGGAAGCTTCCCCCCGAGCTGGGGACAGTAGAGACCAAAGCATGGCAGCAAAGGTGCCCTGGGTGGGTGAGGAGGGGTGTGTGTCCCCATTCTTGTGAGGTGGCACAGGGCACTAACATGGCAGCAGGTACTGGGCTGTGCTCTCTCTACAACCACCTCTGCCAGGGAGCCTTGGCTTTTGCAGCTGAGGCTTGAGCAAACCCAGCTGTGGAGCAGAACAGGCTGCAGAGAGGAGGGGCCCGTTCTGAGCTCTACAAACCAAGAGGCGCCTGCAGTATCCAATCTTCCTGCTGCCATCCACGTTGGTCAGGACAAACGAGAAGGTCTCCCTGAGGAAGAGCAGACAAGACCTGGTTTACATTTGCTCCCTGGGTTCTTTTTATTCCTTAAGATTTATTTATTTATTTTTGGCTGCATCGGGTCTTTGTTGCTGCGTGCAGCCTCTTCGTTGTGGCGAGAGGGCTTCTCTCTAGTTGTGGCATGTGGGTTTTCTCTCTCTAGCTGTGGCACGCAAGCTCCAGGGTGAGTGCTCTCCGTAGTTGTGGTGCGAAGGTTCCAGAGCACGTGGGCTCTAGTTCAGGCATGCGAGCTCAGTAGTTGTGTCTTGGGCTTAGCTGCCCTGCGACATGTGGGATCTTAGTTCCCTGGGATCGAACCCGTGTCCCCTTCATTGTGAGGTGGATTCTTTACCACTGGACCACCAGGGAAGTCCCTGCTCACTACATTCTAAAGCAGGAAGGCAGTCAGCGTCAGAGCAGGGCTGAGGGGGGTGAGGAGGGTAAAGGGGAGCTGCTGATTAATCCTGAGAGTAACCGTAACATCAGTAATTTATTTAAAGTGCTTATTGGTGTCAAGCTCTAAATGTATCATCACATTTAGTTCTCAGAACAACCCTTTGAAGTAGGTTCAATCACTATGCCCACTTTACAAATAAAGGAACTGAGACTCTGGGGGAGTGTTTCTCGTCCAAGGTCATTCAACTCATAAGTGCTAAAGCCAAAACTTGAGCTCAGGCAGTCAAATTCCAGGACTCACGGCAAAAGGCTCTGGCATATAAGGGACTCCTTAGAGGCCAAAGGACTTCTTCTAAGTCCATCTTCTGCCAGAGGCCGTCAAAACACAGTGACTAGCTCCTAGGACAAGTGAAAGAGCCTCGCCCTTCTGTTAGAAGGGACTGCTTAACCTGGTTACCCGAGCTCTCTTGCCTCGAGGTGTCCCAGGCAAGATGTTTAGAAATGAATCAACTCCAGCCCCTCCCCATCAGGAAGGAAGCTGGTGAGAAATCCAGTTGACGGGGGGTGCAGGAATCCCGTGGTTCGCCCTTCTCCTCCAATCCCATATTCCCCCGTCCCAGGGCCGAGCGATTACCTGGGATACTCAGTGAGTGGGGCCCACTCATTCCCATCTGGGAAGCAAAACAAGGGGATGGCTCCGAGCAGCCGTTCCTCCTCCTCCTGTTGTCCCCGAAGCAAGTTCTCTCGCTACAAGGAATGGGAAAAGAGACAGGTGGATGTGGAGGTAGGAGCAGGTGGAGAGGGCTTGGGGGCTGGCGGGCTACTCTGTGCCCATCACTGCATAGAGACTGCGTTCTGGGTCTGGCTGGAAGAACCCCAACGCTGAAACAGTCCCTCCCGGGCCAAGTCTACATGAACCTGAGTTGGACTTCAGTATCCTAAGGATCTACATAGTCAGGAAGGGGGCCAGGACCATGCTGAGTGCAGAAAGGCCCAGAGACCTCCTGGCTTCCTGGGAGGACCACATCAGAGAGATACCGCATCTGAGAAGAGAAGCGGCCAGCTCAGTAGCCTCACTGTCAGGGTTAATGAGAAAGATGCCCTAACCCCACCCCTTCACCCGCTGCGGGACCAGACAAGGAGTCTGATGCTTGGGCTGTGGCCACCAGCTACGTGCCTGACCCACCCTTTCCCTCCCACCCACCCCAGGGAGGGGATTCCTGCGAGGACCTCTGGCAGAAGGTAAGATTCTCTACAGAGAAGGGTGGCTGAGCATAGAATTTGGAAGAATTAGGAGGTCCCCCGAACAGCAGAAGAACTAGCCTAGTTTCCCAGCTAGGGAGCCTAGGTCAGTTCGTTACAGACCTAGATTCTGCGGGTGATAAGAGAAAACAGGGCTGGACCTGAAGGAAACAGGAGCAGTGAGCTCAGGGCAGCTCTAGACGAGCCCCCTGCAGGGTGGGGGGCTGGGGATGGGGAGACGGCACCCCCCCACACCCATCGCCTCTCAAACACCCGAACCCTCTGTCCCCCATTGCCCCTTCCTTCAATCCTTACCTTGGGGAACTGGTAGGTGATTGTGGGCTCATAATCATCCCCCGAAGGCTTTTTTTTGAGAGAAACCACGAGGAGGTATTCAAAGAAGTGCTGCCCTCCGGCAAAGTTGGGTAGACAGTGCTCCTGGGCCCTTTCTGGTTCCTTTACAACTTCCCCCAGATTATCCTGGGGAGGTCCTGAAACCAAGACACCAGGGCCCACTGGTATCTCATTGATCCAGGCCCCGAGTGGAGGATGTGAGGCTCCAGTATCTTTGGCACTTCTAGGCCGTCATACCGACACCGAGGTCCCTGGAGCCTGCCCAGCACCTCAGGTCCAGGCACGGGATCAGAGCCAACTGGGCAGTTTCCGTGCCTGCCTGGGAGATTTGGAACCACCGGGGGTGGGGGGGCAAGAGGAGGAAAGAAGTCACTGATTCGGAAGCCAAGGAAATATACTGGGGAGGTCACCTGGGAGGCCCGAGGCCCCAGGGTAGCAGAAACTCTGCCTAAGTGAAACAGTACACCCCGAGTTGACTTGGACTCAAGAAATCGGAACAGGCCAAGGGCCACGTGACTGTGACCACAGGGCATGACCGGCTCTAAAAACCAACAGGAGAAACCTCCTGGCCAGGTCACATGGGGAACCAGGGGAAGGATGAGATATAAAAGAAGAAGAAAAAGAAGTATTTCAAGGAAGAAACAGCCCCATCGAAGAGGGTCACCCTGGAAAAAAGAAGTAGCTAATCCAGTCCAGACCTGCTCCGTGTCGAGGCAGCCAGTTGCGGAAGCGCCTGAGTATCCCGCCTACCACTTGTCTTTCCATCTTCTTGGGCCTGTAAGGCATGGAGTGCTTGCCTTTCCTCTAACAGACTGGCTACAGAAAACCTGAGAAGGCGGCTGCCGTTTCAGTCTCCAGCCACAACTCTATGAAGCCAAGCCACGTGCTGTCTTCCAAATAGGGGAGAGCAGTTTCCATCCTATGCACCCAATAGTTGAGCAAGGAGCCCGTGTGACAGGACCCAGAAAGGCAGCAGAATGCCTGCACTGACAGAGGCAGCATCCTGGCACTGCAGCTCAGACCTCAGCTCCTCCCAAGAGCCCCAGGGTGTGGTGAGAGAAAAGGTCATAGGCAAACACCTCCAGAGCCCAGCTGCTTCTGGGCTAAGGGCTTTTAATTCTGGGCTGAAGGTTGTGCAATGGGTTTATTTACAACCCCTTGACAGTGGAGAATGCCTTGCCAGTCCCAGGACAGGGATCTTATATCTCCATAACTGATTCCCGACCTTTCACTTCCTAACTCAGTCAATGGCAGCAGATAACCTCTGCATGGCCCCCTGCTGCACTCTGGGACTTCCAGGACTTCAAGGCTGCAAGCAAGAGCACAGGACCAAAAACTCCTCACAGCAAGGTTGCCCCTGCCTCCCCTGATTAAAATCAATAGACTTGACCTCATTCATTATTTAAGTGGAGAAATTGTTCTAGCAAGAGGAATTCCTGGATATCAAAATGAACCTAATCCTCTCCTGGTGGTGAAATAAAGAGCAAAGTCCATCTCTGGGTTGGAGAGTTCCTGATATCTCAGCACAGTCTACAATGGTGCATCTTTCATCCCCTGCAATATGTCCTAAGGCAAACTTGTCTCACTGGGACCTGTTCCAGGGCTCCAGCAAAGAATCCCTCCTCCCAGATAGGAAGCACTGACTTAGGACAGTCTCCCTGGCCTACAGTAGGGGACTGGTTGCATCAGTAGCCTGAGGGGCACTCAGTGGAGTGGAAAGCATCTGGGTGATCTCCACCCCACCCCCACTCCTGCTCAGTCTTTTTTCCTGGTTTGTCCAGGTCAACAGTTCTGCACAAGCTAAGAGCAGAGCAGCTGGGCCCTGGGGCTCCAGTGGTGCTGTGTCTGGAGGCTGGGGAAGAGAGACAGAATAGCAGTAAATCACCTGGGAATCTCACATAAACCCTTGAGTGTGTAAATGCACGTGGTAAGAGAGAAAGACTTTTGCCAGGAGGCTGCCCCTAAGAGGAGATAGAAGGCAAAAGGGTTTGGTGCCAGTGTCTGCCACTCCTGCAAAGAATTAATAGACCTCTGGAAGAATGTGTGGTGCTGAAATAGGGGACACAGCTGCTTGCTCTTAATAGTTCCAGACCTGGCTTCTGTGGACTAGTAAAAGCCAGTACTCAGTGGCCCAGCCATGACTCCTGGGGAGATCAAGGATCACAGTAAATAAGAATGTTTCAATCACTGTAGGGACTTCCCTGGTGGTGCAGTGGTTAAGAATCCGTTTGCCAATGCGGGGGACATGGGTTCAAGCCCTGGTCTGGGAAGATCCCACATGCCACGGAGCAACTAAGCCCGTGCACCACAACTACTGAAGCCCGTGTGCCTACAGTCCATGCTCCACAACAAGAGAAGCCACCGCAATGAGAAGCCTGTGCTGCGCAATGAAGAGTAGCCCCCACTCGCTTGCCTGGAGCTAGAGAAAGCCTGCATGCAGCAACAAAGACCCAGTGCAGCCAAAAAAAAAAAGGGAACGTTACATTCACTGCAGTGGTGAGAACAGTGACCTGGAACACTCGGATCTGTCACCACACCTTATCTGCAACCTGCACAGACTGGCTGCACAATCCTCGCCACCAATCTGAGAAACAAGCATCATCTCCAGACACAGATGGGGAAACCGAGGCACAGAGTAATTCAGGGACTATTTGGGGAATACAACAGAATCTGTCGGGGGTGGGAATGATGAGCGTTTCATGTTCACGCTCCTGCCTCCTGGGTGCAGTACACACCAAACATCCCACAAATGTGGATGCCTCCTGTTTGCAAAAGACCTTGAGAAGCAAAATCTTTTCCCTGGGCATTCCAGAACCTCAGGAAATGATTTCTTTCCCTAAATCCTTCGGGTTGCATTTTCAGCCCATTTCTTCCGGCTTTATCAGAAGAGCCAAGAGAACAGCAAAACTTACAATCGCAAACAAAAGAAGTTACTGGACTTTGGGGCTGAGGACCAAGAAATCCAGAAAAAAGTCTTCCCCCTTTCAAAGGGGGTTATCAACAGAAGGAAAACCTCCATCACACACACGTTTAATATGGGTCTTCTCATTTAATCCTCAGTGCCCTAGAAAGGAATTATTATCCTGAATTTTCAGTTTAGGAGGGAGACGCCCTTTCTAGGGAAGTCAGGAGTCTGGTTACACGTGTTCCTCCACCAGGAAGTGCCTCCCACAGCCCTCTGACAAAAGTCCCAGAACCAGCTGGAATATAGGTGAAGGGACTTTCTGGAAACTTGATCTGGAAAGCTGGCCCTTCCTCTTCTAGCTCAGCTGCTCTCGACCCAGGACCACCACCACTGCCAACCCTCCCATCAGGATGATTTACACCCATGCGTGTGTGTATACACACACACACACACACACACACACACACATACACACACACAGACACACACACACACACACACCCTCCTACCACACAGTTGCCTTGGGGCCAAAAGGGCAAAAGAGGGAGGGGGAAATTCAGGGAAAGGTGGAGGATAGTATGGAAGATGAAGAAGGCACACTCTCCTGCCCGCTAGGTGCCAGACCTCAGGACAGGTAATACTGGCTGCACATCTTACAGTCCCTCATTGTCATCAGGTACAGTCATCAGCCCTGTTTTGGGAACAACTGGAATGTTTCCTCTGGGCTGCAGGGAGCAGATCCCTTCCATTCACACAGGCTTCTGAGGGTCGAGGGAGACCAGGAAAGACCAAGCCAGTGCTCTCCAGAGAAAAGAGGCCACCAGCCCCACCCTACATCTGCTCCTGCCACGGCACGCTCCCAGGCATCTGTCCCAACCCATGGTCTCTGATCTCTCCGCCTCAGTACAGGTGGAATGACCAGATAGATACTGGAAACCTGTGTTCAGGGAGAACAGCAAGGGCTAGGGGTGGGGGACAGGGGTAATGGCAGAAGGAGCACTGATTCCCCCCTCCCAGGTCTCCCCAGTTCTGGGGCTTGGAGTAAGAGGGGGTCTCATTCAATCTTTTGACCACCAATGTTAGAAGGGGTGGACTGTCTTGGTATGACCCCTGCTTACTTTCCAATCGGTTCCCTTCTTCTCAGAAGGTGGGACCTCTGGACAAAGTATCTAAGGGTTGTGGCTGCTTAGCCATCGGGCTGGTCAGTGGTAAGCAGCAATAAATATGTGTTGAATGAATGAAAAAAAGAATGAATGAATTCCTAACTCCCTTCCAAAGCCCAGCGCCCCTGCTGAGAAGAAAGGAAGCGAATATTGACTGCTAATTTAATCCGTACAACCCTGTATGGCAGGAATCATTCTTCCTTCTGTAATGGGGGACCAAGGGATAAGGGAGGCTTGCCTTGCCGGGTTCGCACACTCTAAGGAAGCAGCTGAGCAGGCTCTATCCCCAGCTCTGCTCGAGGCCACACTCTCCAGGGCTCCTCGCCGCCCCTAGGGGAGGGAGGGGGGTGACGTCGCAGGGGAAGGGCAGTGCTGTGGCCGGCGGCTGTGTGCGGGGCAAAGTCGCGGGCTCCCACGAGTGGAGTCCGGGGGCGGGGAGGCGGGGCAGCGCGGGGAGGCGGGCGGCCGGGGGCTGAGGCTGTGTCTCCCGGGCGGGCGCCGCGGCGGCCCGGGAGCTGCAGGCACCCTGCGGTTGCCCCACAAACTTCCTGGCTGGTAGGACACGTGGCCCCGGGGCCCCACAACGGTTTCCTTTGGCTGGCGACCTCCCCTTTGCCCCTGCTGGCGTGGCTTCTCCTCTGACCTCCGACCCCTTCCCCACCAGCCCGTTTCCACCTCTACCTGCGCCCTTTCTCTCCAGCTCATCTGACCCCTGCCCAGCACCCCCGGAATGCCCCCTCAGACTGCTCCTCGATCGATCGCGACCCTCCGCACCGCCCTGCCTTGGCCCCTTGTCCCCGTCACCTCCTGTCCTGGCCCGCGGTCCCCCCGCTGTGCCCGCGCCCTCGTCCCGGCGCGCCCCGGCCCGGCACTAACCCCCACGGCCGCGCTTCAGTCTCAGGCTGGCTCGGAGGCGGCGGCCGAGCCCATCCATGGCCCCTGGAACACCCGGCGCCCGCTCCCAGGTCCGCGCCGGCCCCGCCCCCCCAATGCGCGACCTCGGCTGGCAGACACTTTCACTTTTCCGCGGGGGAGAGGCAGAGGGGGACGAGCCGGGACGCGACGGCACACCTTCCGGACTCCGGCCCAACCCCCGGCGCACCTGGGCGGGCCCGCTCTTCCCTGGGCGCCGGGCAGGGCTGCGTGGGGTGACAGAGGGCGCTCAACGCGCGTCCGGGAGGGGCGGTGCCACCTGGCTCCCACCCTCTGTGGGGCGTCCCGGGAAGTTTGACTTTCCGAGCCCCGCGGTCCGCAAATGTTCGGGGTCGCCACGAAGTCACCCTCCGCCTCCGCGGCAAGCGCGGGTTGTGCCCTCCCGGTGGGCATCCCTACACCTTCCAGGTGGCTCGGGGACTTATGCCAGAAGGAGACAGAGTTTTCAGAGTCGGCACAGCTTTCCAACCTCTCCACTTCGCCCCCTGCAACTGCGTTAGCCTCTGGCCATTTCCAGATCTCTTGCTATATTTGTCCTTCTCCTCCGTGGGGCCCGTGCCCCTGCGTTGCTCTTTTCCCTATTCCACTCCCCCGACGAAAGGACCTGGCCCTGTGAGCTCTTGAGGAGGGACTGGAGATGCAGTTGAGGGCCTTGATCCTGCCTTCCATCCAGCGGGCTCTCGGGCAGTTCAGCAAAATGAGAGTAATCCCTGCCCTGCCACCCTGCAAAGACATGGAAGTCAAGGATTAGAAAGCTCTTTGTAAACTCTTATGTGATACAAATGTAAGGGATGATGCTAATAATGATGACAATAGTGATGATGACAGTTGCAGCTAGCCACACTCCCCTTCTTCTAATCCCAAATCCCCATAGAGCCATTCAGCTTTTCTTCTGCCCTTCTCACCTTCAATGGCTTCCTTACACTTCCACATTTCAAGCTTCCTTTGTCAGAAATGAAAATTTGCATTTGATAAGCCCCTCTTGCTCCTGGGGGATCCGCCCTGGCTCTCCTCTGCCTCCCAGGACCTGTAGGGTGGAAAGGATAGAGGAAGTGCAGAGTCCTGTCTGAAATTTCTTCATTCACAGAGGTTTTAGCCTCTGTTTCAGATGTGGGTGGCAGAGGGAAGAAGACACTGTGGCAGAAATATGTCTAGGATCTATAGAAATGACCCCCGGACCTACACCCCCTTCCTCTCCCCTGCATGGCCTCCAGGTGACTCTTGTGTCACAGACTATGGGTGAGCAACAGTGAGGAATCTAGCCCTGGTATTAAACTGTCTAGTCTTAGCCCAGAGGTTCTAAAAGTTGCCTCTACTCTGGGCCTATGCAATTTTGTACTTAATTACACAGTCTGTTTCTGTTCCCTATTCTCTGTGAATTTCCACACACGAGGACACATCTCTTTCTCAAGTACCTTCTCTTGGCTCTGCATTCATGTCTTCTGCATCTCCGTGTAAGTATAGTAGTTGTTCATGATAAACTTGTCCCACTGGTTGAACATAATTGTGCCTTAATTTTCCCAACCTATTTTATGGCGGCCTTAACCAATCTACTTCCTTCCTGTAAAAACAGATGAAGAAATATGTGTATAGGTACAGCAAAAAGATATGTACAAGACTGTTCATGTTGAATCTTATCTGAAATAGCCTCAAACTGTAATAACCTCAAATGTCCATAAACAATGACATGGATGAGTTGCAGCATATTCTTACAATGGAGTACTATACAGCAGTAGGAATGAATACACCATGACCGCATGCAATAGCATGGCTACACCATACAAATATAATGTTGAGCAAGACAGTCAGACACAAAAGACAACGTAATGTAAGTTTCCATTTATGTAAAGTTAAAAACAAGCAAAACTAATATATGGAATGAGAAGTCAGGATGATGCTACGTTAGGGAGGAGGGAGGAAGTAGTGATTGGGAGAACACCATAGGGCTTCTGGGGTGCTAGTAGTGTCCTATTTCTTTTTTTTTTTTTTCTTTAATTAACATCAAGCCATTTACTTTCATTTATCTGTCACTTTTTTTTAAAGGATTTCATGATGATGTATGTTTCCTAAAGTTTAGGTGTGAATCAAAATGAGCCTTTGTGTTTAAAAATATATACAATACATCTTTTAGATGGCTTATTGTCCACCTTTGATTATGAACTATTACAATGAAAATGAAAAATTGGGCAACGTTGGTACAAGCTGTGGCTTTCGCATGCCTTACCTTGCTTCTTTTTATCCCTGTCTTCTCTTCATTTATTTGATGTTTTCTGCCTCACCACGACCATTTCAGTTGGTGATACTGTGATAGTGAAGTTATTTGCCAGTTGGAAATATAAACCTTGCTCCCATCACGATTTGTTTCACTGCCGAAGGGCTTAATAATTTTTCTCCACCCAACTTTTTCTGTCTGTGGCAACCAAGGTAGTGTTATGAGAAATTCTCTCATGAATAAAGCTTAACTTCTGAATCTGGGGGCAGGGAGTAGAGTCCTGTTCAGTCAAGTTACTGATTTCTCTAGTTTATCTTTTTTGGTAACTAGAGCCCTCAGAACAAAATGGTAGCCAACAGACATTTCCCAGAGAAGAGGAAGTCAAAAAGGAGTTCTCCACGATGTAGTAAGGACTCTTAGGAATTCATAGGACTTTTATAATCAGTATTGTCTGTCCTCTCTCACCATGACCCTTTTATATAAGGACAATATTGGGCCATCAATGTCCTATTTCTTAACCTGGTGGCAGATACATAGGTGTGGTCGTTATTTGCACTGTATGCTTACATGTACTTCTTTCTATGTATGTGAAACTAAATAGTTTTTTTTTTAAAAAAGTATCCATTAGGACATTAGGATGACATAAATGGAGGCATAAGCTAGTTGAGGATGAATTGAGAAATTATTGGGATGTAAGTAAGCAAGTATAAATCTACATTTTTGAGAAGTGTGGATAACAATAGGAAAAATTGGTCCATAGTTAGAGGGAGATTTGGTTTTAAAGTGGTGGGTTAAGATGGGAAAGATGAGAGCATATTTATGGGCGTAGGGGCAGGAACCAGCGGGGAGGAGATGAAGAGTACAAGAGAGTGGCAGGTTGAACAAGATCTGAGAGCGGGGAGAAGGTAGAAGTTGGAGGCTTTGGCAGAAGACTGGCTTTAAATGGGAAAAAGAGCTTTATTTGTGGGAAATGGGTATAGATGTTGATTAATTTGTAGATGAAGAAGTGGGAAGTTAAAAGGATAAAATAAGAGGCCTCAGTTTCTACTAGAAGAAAAGTTTTTTCCTCCTTTTCTTCTTGTAGCTGTGTTACTGAGTCCAAGCTCGCTCTGCTCGCCACACGACAGGCCAATAAATCAGAGACGAGGTGTTGAGGCAGGGAATACGACTTTATTCGGAAAGCCGGCAGACCAAGTGGCAGACTAATGTCTCAAAGTAACTGTCTTATCTGGCTTTGGATCCCAGTTTCTTTTATAGCACAGAGATGGGGAGGAGATAAGGAAGTAAGTAAAAAGGCCATAAGATTTGCAAATGTCCCCCGGAATGGCCAACCTCGGGAAGGGGATGTGTTCATTTCTTCTTTCTTGCAGCCATCCACAGGTGGACAGGGTCAGGATGTTTCCCTGAACAAAGGCACTCTGGTTTAACATTCAGGCAGAGGGGCAGGGTTCCCCAAGGCAGGCCATTATGTATAGACAGTATCCTTTTAGTGAACAAAAGCAACGGGAAGCAAAGGTTAAAGTAAAAGAAACAGATCCAACATGGAGTCAGATTTGGCGCTTCCTCCCTCTCTATCCCTCTGCCTGTTCTCCCAGAGTCTGACTGTGGAGTGGGAGAAAATGAGCCAGCCTTCTTTTCTTGAAGGTCTTGAAAGGAAGCCCACAGGTAAGTTTTATTCAGGGAGGCAGCATGGCACAACAGAATGACCTTGGGTGCATGGACTTAGCCCCAGGATGATGCTTACTTGCCCAGCAGCCTTGGGTTAGGCATTTCCTATACCTTACTCTCCTAAAATAAATAAATCACTTTCAGAGAGCTTGTGAAAACTAGAAAGAATAGATTTGTAATCCAAATGTCCAAACTTCACATATCTCTTTAATGCCCAAAACACTGTAGTCTCAAATCATCTCTTTTAATTGCAGAAGTACTGTCTATTACCAGGCTTCTCTTTCCGGGGATTTCCGGGCAACCTTTAAGAAGTGTTTACACATTCCACAAACCAATTCTGGTAGTTGCTTGTCATCAGAGTCCATAGTAGGGATCCAAGCTATTACTTCCTCCTTCCTTAGTTATGCGTTTGTCTCCCCTGTGCCATTTTGCCCAGTTTGGACATTAGCCCTATCTCCAACTCAGGACGGTGATAGCTGAGGTCAGGAAATAAGATTTGTTAGGATTTTGCTGACGGCTTTGATAAGAAAGGATATTACAAAACGGAGAACTTAAAAACGAAGTATCGCTGCTCTTGGGGTCCACAGAGGGGTCCTGTCCTGGCATTTCTCTGCCTGCCCCTAGGGCTGCCCCCATGTTGCAGGGACCAGCAGACTTGACCTCAGTGGAAATGCTCTTGAGTCTAGGCTTGTCTCTGTGTTCACATATTCCAGAATGATCTACGGTGTCAAGGTTTATTACATTTGGGGGGAGCCCTGCCCCTGAACGCGATCCTGTCCTTTGGCACAAAGCATCAGAACAACAACAACAAACTCCACAAAACATCTCCAAAGAATGGGTCCTTCAGTACAGAATAACACTGTCCATAGTCCTGTACAGTTCTTCTTCACAGCTTGAAGTGCACAGAAGCTCAACTATCTGTCCTTCAAGCCACCTTGGAGTCTTGGCTTCTACTCTCCTGTGAGCAACAGCTTGAACAGTGACCCACGCCTCTGCTAGGAGTAATCAACAATAGCCAGGATTAGCAAAGGACCTCTGAGTACTAGGAACAAAGACTACCTTTTTTTTTTTTTTTAATATTTATTTATTTATTTGGCTGTGCCGGGTCTTAGTTGTGGCATGTGCCTCCTTTAGTTGCGGCCTGCATGCGGAATCTAGTTCCCTGACCAGGGATTGAACCAGGCCCCCTGCATTGGGACCTCACAGTCTTAACCACCGGACCACCAGGGAAGTCCCACAAAGACTACCTTTTACATTCCCACAAAGAGATCCTGGAGCCAAAGTTCTCAAACCTCTCTCCTGGACAAGGGTCTCTGCTCTATATTTGGATAATTTTGACCAAACCTTGACGCCCCTCCTCCCCATTTAAATTAGATCCTCCTGTTACAACCTCAGATCACACTCTTTCCTTTGTTTTCTTAAAAACACTTAACGATTTATAGTTAAACATGGATTTCTGAAATTAGTTGTTCAGCTATTCTCTGCCTTTCTAGAGTCACCCCAGGGGGCATGGATCGTGTCTCTTTTGCTCCTCCCTGTGTCCCCAGTGCCTAGCACAGTGCTGGGCACACATTAGATAATCAGTAAACACTTCTCCATTGAATAAATGAGTGAATGACTAGGGGGGTAGTCTACCCTTAGCATCCACCTCTAAGGAGACAGAAAATTACTTGAAACATTTTTGGTCTTCCAAGTTCTATCAGGGCTAACACTTAGATTGCTTAACGCTCATTCTGACTCTTTCTTTGCTGGATGAGTCTTTGATCAGAGGTGTATCAGATCAGTGGGATCTGATCATGGCGGTCCCAGTCTCCTTTCTTGAGAATGATTTGTAGTGGGCAGGTGACTCAGCTCTCGCCCAGTAAAAGGTAAGGAGGTGTCTGTCCTAGTCAAGGGGAAATCTGCTGGGGACTTCTGGTGTAGGTTTCTCTAGAAGGGATGGTATTTTTCTGCCTCTGGACATCACTGAGTTTGGATATGATGACAGGAACTGCCAAGACGAAGCCAGCACATGCAGCAGAACAGGGCAGACCAGCTCTCAGAGTAAGGGGACCAGAGTCAGCTACAGCTGGGCTGGCAGGAGCCTGGAGCTGCCTCAGCTCTGCGCTTCTTGTTACCCAAGGTATCAACTCTTCCTACGGATTAAGGTGGTGAGCTTTCTAATTACATTTTACATGGCGTCCGACACAATACACACACAGGTAATATACAAAAAACACAAGCTTCACAAAACAATACCACTCCCACTATATGCAATGTATTTCTGCTTTTTTTCTTCCGTTCTATTATTGCATTAAAAAATATGCTTTTTGAAGGCACCCTAAAATGATTTCATCACCCCAAATGTGTGTAACCTGCAGTTCAAAACACTTTGGAGTTTTCTGGTGCTTTTAACTGCAGACTCTGGGGCCAGACTACCTGGGTTGGTATCCCAGCTCTGCCAATTACTAGCTTTGTTACATTGGACAAGTTTCTTAACCTCTCTGTGATTCGATTTTCTCATATTTGATGGGGATAAGACTGACCTACCTCATAGGGTTGCTTTAAGGATGCATAAATGAGTTAATGCCCCCAAAGCACATGGTAAGGGAAGGCATCGGGAGGTCTGAAGAGAAGACTGACATGATCTCACAAAGATGAATAAGCTACAGTCCCTGTCCTCACGGAGTTTACATTGTTGTGGGAAAGATACAACGTAGAGGTGCTGAGATTAAGAGAAATACAGAACAGTACAGAAACATGAAGGAGAAGCATGCATTCTAGCTGTGGAATCAAATCTAATCTCCAGGAGGTAGGACTGGGAGATAAAATGAGTTGTGAAAATTCTACTTACTTAAAAAAAAATAGGGCTTCCCTGGTGGCACAGTGGTTGAGAGTCCGCCTGCCAATGCAGGGGACACGGGTTCGTGCCCCGGTCCGGGAAGATCCCACGTGCCATGGAGTGGCTGGGCCCGTGAGCCATGGCCACTGAGCCTGCGCGTCCGGAGCCTGTGCTCCGCAACGGGAGAGGCCACAACAGTGAGAGGCCCACGTACCTCAAAAAAAAAAAAGACTAATTTTTAGAGCAATTTTAGGTTTATAGAAAAATTGAATGGAAAGTATGGACAATTCCTACATATATCCTTCACTTCCACCCTCACACACAGTTTTCCCTATTATCAATATGTAGTACATTTGTTACAGTTGATGAGCCAATATCGATACACTATTATTAACTAAATTCCATAGTTTATATTAGGGTTCACTCTAGGTCTTGTAAATTCTGTGGATTTTGACGAATGTATAATGACAAGTCTCCACCATTACAGTATCATATGGAGTAGTTTCACTGCCCTAAAATCCCCTGTGTTCCCACCTATTCATGCCTCCTTCCCTCCCTGGAATCCCTGGCAACCACTGGTCCTTTTACTGTCTCCATAGTTTTGCCTTTTTCCAAAATGTCATAGAATTGGAATCATACAGCAAGTAGCATTTTCAGATTGGCTTCTTTCACGTAACAATATCTACTTACATTTTAAAAACCTCTCTGAGTACAGAATACATTCAGAAGAAAAAGAACGAAGAGTAAGAATTTGAAAGTATCTTTCATCACTATTCAGGGTTCTGAGCAACCAATAGGCATAACCAATGTCCTCGACAAGCATCTGCTTAATAAATATTTGTTGAATAAATATGAATAAGTTCCCAGTGCTATGACTGCAACATTAGTACATGGTTAGTACATATCTGTTGAGGGGAACTACAGTCCTAACACCTTTGATTTTAACTTAGGAGCTTCCCGGTTCTCCTTGGCCATTCACTTAATAGGAACAGACAGTTCTCACGGTTTGAGCTCTTTATATGTTCCAGGAACGATGCTAAGCATTTTACAAATATTATTTCAAATCAGCATTACTAATAATCCTTTGAGCTAGGTGTTACTATCTCTGCTTTATAGATGAAGAAACAGGTTCAGAGATGCAAGGTCACACAGCAAGGTAAAATGAACCTTTCATTCACACTCAGATGAGAACGTTATCTCCAGGTTCTTAAGCCACTGCCAATGAGTCCACCAGCAGTTGCTGTGGAGTCTTCTATGGAGCTGACAAGTGGTCTGGCCCTCAAAGCCTTCCCTGATGTCCTCAGACAGATATCCTGTGTGATTACAGTCAGGTCAGTCTGCTCAGTGCTCCTAAACTGCCCTACCTTCCACACTGCGGAATTCCCCAAAGTCTATGTGGGTTTCATTGTTGTTGTTGTTGCTTTTTCTTTTTTGGGACAGAGGCTCATCATTATCGGTGTCACAGCTACTAAAAGTCCTCAGAGATGCGAATGATCCCCTAGAGATAAGGCAGACAGTTCTAGTGAAATGCTAGGAAAATAAGCCCACCATTCACCATTGTATGGGGAAAGAAGGGGCCCTGAAGATCATGTATGGCTTTGTAATTCATTGAGGAATTTCTGCATTTAGAAATTTTAAATGCATTTAGAAATTTTAAATGACTGAGTTCTCTGCATTTAGAAATTTTAGAAATGCAATTTAGAAATTCTAAATGCAGTTTAGAAATTCTGCATTTAGAAATTTTAAATGACTGAGTTCTCCAACGCTTCAAACTTCTGGCAGGGAAGACATATTAATCCAACAAGCAAATCTTCTAAACATGTAAATGAGTCTTGCAAATCGAACATATCGACCTGCTAAATGGGGCGAGCAGACAGAAGATAACCAAAGCCTCACCGTGAAGATAAGTCACTTTACCTGAATGAACACAATTTACCAAAAGTACTGATCCCACTGTCATCTATTTATTGCCTCCTTGCTTATCTGTACATTTTCCCAGAACTACATTTTTTTCTCAGCCAACCAAGGGAAACTTAAAAACCCTCAGTCCCATGACTACAGTAACTGACATTTCAGAATCAGAGTTTGGTCTGAGACTCTGGATAACTAAACAAGGCTTACACAGTAATTCTAAGATCATTCTAGATGAGCCATAAATAGGCTGAACTCTTCTTAAGTCTTTTCAATCCTATACATTTTCTTACAATATAGTGCATCTTCTAACACCTTTTTGATATTTTGAACAGTAACCTTTTATAACACTTTTACTGAGATATCTTCCATGTGAATTTTGATTGACTAATTTGAACTTCTTTTCTCCTTGTCTAGTTTTCAATGAAATGCCTTTATTGCCTGCAGTGAAATCTCTTTGTTCCATACCTTCTTTGTTTCTCGACATCTCATTTGTCTCATTAACCATATTCTGGGCATTTATTGACAGAAAGAAACTAGACTTGTAAAATGTCCAGTTAGAAGGAACCGGATCAGGGACATTCCTATGCCCCAGGCTGGCCCTGTCAAGGGCTGCTACCTCTGCGGGCACAGTCTCAGCAATAGGAAAATCCCTGCCTTGAGAACTTAGAGTCTGCCAGTCCATGGCCTCCCGGGCCACGTGTGTGCGCGCATGCGTGCGTGTGTGTGTGTGTGTGTGTGTGTGTGTGTGTGTAGCCTTGTCATCATACAGCTATTTAGTGGCTGTCTAAGGACAGGCTCTGTCCAAGCCCTTATCTTCAGCCCAGTGAAGGGATCTGATGGATAACTGTCTTCATTTTTCCCCCCTTTTTCCCTTAATGAGCAAATACCACAGAAAGCAGTGAGCACTCCGCACAGCCCTAGAACACAGAGATCAGTAAATACTTGTTCATTGACTGATTAATGACACTGACCCCCAGCTGTCCACATTCACCCTAACAACAGAGCCTAAGAATATATGAGCCCCACACCCCCATGGGTCTCTTCCTCTCCCCTTACGCCTGCCCAGTTCAGAAAGGAGCTGTGCTGAACAGCCTTGACCATGGCCATCCTGTAGTGGAAGCTAAGGAAATGATGAAAGGCTTTGAAAGACAAGTATGTGAAGAAAGGGGGAAGGTCACAGTGGGCAGGGACCTGGAGGGAAGAGAGAAAGGTGGCTGGGTAGAGAGGCCGGGGGCAGGACTGTCATCCCCCTAAAAACCAAGGCTGCCCACTTGGGTCTCAGAGACTGCTCTCCTTTCCTTCCCTTTGGCTCCTGCAGAAAATATTATTTTGTCTTATGTCTCGGTCATATTTAACTAGACGGATGCATATAGGTGTATGTATGTACACATACATATACTCACATAGTTGCCCACATGTCTATTTAGGTATACATACCAAATTGACACCTGTTCCCAAACTGGACTCTGCTGAATACAACCACTCAAACTCAGTGCCCTCAGGGAGCTTGCACTCTTGGGATGACACGTCAACTCAAGGATAAGGGCCCACCTCCCCTTGGGTGGATGCCTATATCAGACTTCTCTAAGAGCTGAAATAAACCACAGCCTACTTCATCATTTCTCCACCTCTCTCCTCAATTTACATCTCACTCCAACATTTCTTCATGCAGCTGTCATTTCCTGAGTGTCTCCTGTGTCCCAGGCACACTTCTGGGTGCTGTGGAGTGAACCACACACACTTGAACCTGGTTCCAAGGAGGTACCCCCTCAGCACTCAGAGGAGTTTCCACAACCAATGCAAATTGCTGGCTTCTTGTGAGGACCAAGGGAGATTGTAGTTATGAAAATGCTTCGAGTAATTGGAATACCCGAGCTAATATTTCTGCCATATACTTCAGTGGTATGTATAACAGAGCTCACTAGTGTTCTTGAAGCTGAGAGGAAGCAGAAGGGAACAGTACTCAGCACCTTCATGGACCACACGAAGGGTGTGAGGTCTGAGCAGCTGTCAGGTTGTGAGTACGTGAGAACCCAGGAGCATCCGGGTCCCATAGTGAATGGGGCTGTGCTTTTTCTTTCTTTTTTTTCCTTTTTGTAATATACAAAGGAAACTAAATGCAAATTGGTACTTATTTTATAGGGGCCCAGATACCAGTCCCCTGCTTATCAGGAAATGGAAAGTATCGGTTGCCCTAGCAACAGAGTCCTGGTGGCAAGAGACCTGGGGGCAGGAGGAGGGGCTATGGTTGTTTACCAGCTTGTTCTGGGGAAGGAGGTGGAACCCTCACCCACTGCACTAACCAGAGGAAACTGTCTGTTCCCCAAGGTCATTATGGGCTTCCTGCCAGAGCACCTGAAATTTCAAGTCACGAATGAGGTGGGCCTTCACCTCAAAGTCTTTCCATAGATGGAGATGGAAGTGTGGGTTTGTGAATGACCGACCAACCAACCGCCTCCCAGCTCAAACTTGAACTCCTTCGTGCTGACTGGGGGAAACTGCAGGTAGAAGGAGCACCAGCCTTTTGAATTCTGCGTTTCAATCCTGGCTCTGCCATTTGAAAGCTGTGTGGGGAGAGGGTATAAAGTCCATTGGCTACGCGCAGGCTCAGCGGCCACGGCTCACAGGCCCAGCCGCTCCGCGGCATGTGGGGTCCTCCCGCACCGGGGCATGAACCCGTGTCCCCTGCATCGGCAGGCGGACTCTCAACCACTGCGCCACCAGGGAAGCCCCTCCCGTCCATTTTAATTTTTCCCCTTTCCTTCCCAGTTCTCAGGATCCCTTTATCTCTCCTCTTGTGCAGCCAGTCAGAACTCAAAATTCTTCTTACTTTATTGTGCAAAGCAATTTTGTTTACTGTGTTTCATTTTGTGCTCTCTAAACCAGATCCTGAGACCTAATTTTTCAGAATTGAGTGACTATGTAAGTGTTATGCTAACAACAACAATAAAGTTCTTCTCCAAAAGGAATTCTGTCTCCAGCTTTAATATAACATTGATTTTTTTTTTTTCCCTCATGGCTACTCTGGTGGTTCTTCACTCTACACTTCCCTACATCCCTTACTCCTCAAGATAACCTAAAATGAATGAGAGAGCCAAACTGGCATGCC